GTTTTGATTCCATTATTCCTGGCAAACAAAGCGTTAACTGTGCATTTGAGCTAATTGTTGACACAATGTTTCATAAAATAAAGATTAATTATACTTCATGGTATTAACTTAAATACTGGAGCTAGATAGCTCAATAGGATCCTCTCAACAGCGGTCACAACTTCTTTTCGCCTTTTGATATGGGAATTTCGCGAAGAATGGGAATTCGGTTCAATGAAATAGCAGCCTGTGTTAACATCACAATGGGGCCCAGCGGGGAGGGGGGGGGGGGAAGCTATCCATGAAAGAAAAAATCGGAGCAAAAACTGAATTGGTAAGGCTTTCACAAGCCCATAGGTATTATCTCGTAGTGGAAAAGCATGGATCCGTGGCGGTTTCCTCGACGTTTTTCCGACTTTTCTTCATCTCCTTCCTCCCTAGTACCGCTGCTGGCTTCCAGGAGGGAACTCTTCGCTGTTTCGCTTTGTCCCTCCAGCTTAGCTGGATAAAGGTTTAAAAAGAAAAGAGGATATAAAAAATGTATGATACGGAATACAGTAACTTATGTTCAGAACTGTATATTTATTTACTTATTTTAACAATAAACTTTTTAGGATATTCGAATCATTCGGTGAAATTTTAGTCCACACAATAAAATAAAATTGAACAAAAAAGAAATTTAAGAATTAAAATAAATTAAAACTTAATTTAAAATCAAATAATTAAAACCACTGTACCACTACAACCCATGAAGGGTTATGGTTTCAGTACTTTGAGGAAGATCAACGGTTGTACCAGAGAAGGTGGATTGGTTAAGGATCACTTTTAATCGCAAGGCTTTCCCCCTTAGTTAATAATTCAAATTAAGAATACCAACTTTATAGAGACTGGGTGTGCCGCAGGGTCATCTCCTGACCCCAGGATCGATCCACGGCTAATGAAATACTTCTTAATATCAGCCGGATTCGAACCCGGGAACTTGAGCTAAGCTGCCCAGTGCCTAACTCTCTGAGCTACTCCGCTCCATAATAAAATAATTATAGCAACTTAAAAAAATTAATATACAAATCAACTAACACAAAGTTCAAAATAATTACAAATAAATTAAAAAAATTGTAAACTTATGCTCGCCTCTTATCCTACAATAAATGTATGTCAACTTCAGACTTATTTGTTCTTTTAAAAATTAGATATAAGAAATCAACGGTCGGACTAATGTATAGTTTTATGATAACAAGTTGCACACGTGATCCTGGGTAAGAAGGAAGAAAATAAGAATCAGGAGGAGGAAAATAATCAGCCGAGGGAAATAAATTATATCCGAACGAAATCATTTCCAAATTATTCGAAAATCCAAGTATAATATGAAATTTTAGAATCTAATTTTGTTAAAATATTTCACCCATAGAGTTTCGAAAATTTATAACCAATACCTTTTGATTTTAATATATTAATTTAAGAAATTTCATAAATAAAATGTAATGTTCGAATAGAAAAGAAAATTGTTGTTGTCCAGTGTTCAACATTGATAACAGGTAAGTCAACTTTCTGATCCAAAAGTGTTACGAAAATTAAAAATTTTCGGTAGCAATACAATACATGTTAATTTTTAATTAATTTTCGTATAAATTATGTTTAAATTATTAAAATTGTTTGGAAATTGTCTTGGAATTTTAGAAATTATTGCAAAAATTAATTTTGGTATTTCTCTCCCACTCCCTCCAAAATGAAAAATATGATTGTTGCAGCAACGTCCCTGAATGAAATCGGGAGTAATGAGTACGTATGTAGTGGTCGTCCTACTATCTTGTGTGCTGCACATCGTAAAAATAAATAAAATAAATATATACAATTGTTGCAAGATATTTTTTTAGATTGAAACAGATGATAACTAAATGACCAGAAAAATAAATTTATAATGAGGTACATTTTGTCGTCTATCACATCTAATATTAAAACGATTTGTCATACTCGACATTGCCTCATTACTTTCGTAATGTATAGGTGGTAATACATTTTTAAAATAATATTTCGTACTTTTAATATTTAATCCTTCTTTCTTTACAGATTTTTCTGTTTTTCCGTAGATTATTCTGACTCCTCTTTCCTCCATCAGCACATTGGCTGACCACAAGGTTGCGTCTTAAGTCCAATTCTCTATTCACTATACATCTCTGATATCCTTGAGCACCCTAGCACCAACCTCTATTGCTTCGCTGACAACACTGCGATTTTTACATACCACAAAAACTCTACTATCGCATCAATTGCCCTTCAAAACTTATGATCTTCAAAAATGGTTCGAGAAATGGATAATTAAAATAAATAGTAGTAAATCCACCCACTTTCTCTCTTAGGAAAGCCTCATGTCCACCCATAACGAATGACAATAATCCAGTGCCTTTAAAAAACTATGTACGGTATCTCGGACTCTACTTAGACAAAAGACTTACCTGGAACATTCTTACTAAATTAAAAAGACAAGAACCAACTAGACGATATAACCAACTCTCACATCTTCTGGACTATAGATCCTCACTTAACTTCCGAAACTAGCGACTACAACACCATACTGAGACCAATTTGGACATACGGAGCAGAACTTTGGGGTTCGGCAAAACAAACACACATTAATAAAATACAAATACAACAATAAAAAATTCTACTAAAAATTGTCAACGCAACATTGGTACATTTCAAATAACACTCAACATAACCACTTAAACATCCCAACAGTAAAATTGTACATCCACGACAAATACACTTCATTTCATTCTGCTACTCTCAATCATCCAAACCCACTCGTTCTGTCTTTTTCTTCCTCCCTGTTACTTGATCGAGGCAGTCTAAAAAGAAAATGGCCAAGGGACCTACTCCTACAATAATAACAAAATTAAGTTAATCAAGCAAACTCGCGTTTAATGCCGAATTCATCAAATTCGCTCGGTGCGCTTGATATATAATATTTTGTATTCTTAATATAGTTGTGAATACGAATATATTTATATTTATAATATATATCAATACAGTCTAAATATTCATGTTATTGTAAAAAACATATTGACAGGCTGATTTACGAACGTTAAAATATTTTTAAATTATTCGATAAACTTTTTTTTTTGCAACCTGCGGCAACTTTGGATGTTTTATTTCTTTTCATTATCGATCAAAAAAACGTGGTAAACTGTATAAATTTAAGATATATTTTGTAATATTAGCTATTTTGTATAGCCTGTCCACTAGTTAGTGAATTGTTTTCTTTTTATAAAATTTTATTTATGAGAGTTTTGTATTTTACTCATTTATAAAAATGATGTATCGTATTTTCTGTTATAAATAAGGAAAGACAGATGTTTAATTCTGAAACTGTAATAATAACATTAAGCTTATTTTTCTTTTCATAAATTAACATTATCTTTCGTCACTACATCTAACCGCTACTGCTATTAGAATTTTCATGAGCCTGGAATAAAATTAATTAAAAAATAAATGAAAATTTAACAAGTTTAATCCATTCCAATCTCTCCAATTTTAATTTTCAAGCGTTGTCAATATAACTTCATATTACGATAAATACCATTTTTATACATTGTAAAACACGATAGTTAAGTGAAGAACTGTACCAAGTTGTTCTATAAATATAAAGTTGAGAAATTGAATTTTAAGTTTACATAAATTTACAAAATACCCTTAGATGCGCATGATTTAAAAAAATAGAATAATTTAATCACATTCTAAAGACCGTGCGAATTAAAGTTAATAAATGTACTTCCTAATCACTTATTGCACATACCTGGAAATATCTTAGGATTTGCAAAGAAAGTAATGGATATTAAATTATTTATTTTACCTCAATTCACTAGTTCTTTCAATTGCCTCTTTCCTGTTACCTGATCGAAAGAAAATGGCCAAGAGATCTGCTTCTTCACACTAGCGGATCCAGGATTTAATTTTTTGGGGGGGATCGGGCTTCAGTCCGCAATCTTTTTTTTTTCTTCATAAAAATGACGAAAATTACTTTGGAAAAAAAAGAAGAAATTAAATATCTATATGAAATGGTGTTTAAGTGATTCCTTAAGTTCTTTTAAATGTAATTACACGAACAATAATACTTTCAGAGATAATTTTTAAATATATTTTCCATAAAATATGGTTATATTTTACCATCATCAGCCCGAAAGCCCACCTCTTCCCTCCCCCCTCGTAGATCCGCCCGTGCTTCTTCAATAATAACGTAATTAAAGTGATTATTGAACAGATTCTCAGATAATACTTAGCACATCGAATTTGGTAGATGCGCTACTGCGCAGGTGCAAATGGAGTAGAAGACTAAAACAACTATAAATAATAATAATAGTGACTGATTCTTTATATTATTAGCCACGAAAAGTACAATCTCAAAATATAGTTGGGAGCCGTGCAGTAGCCATAATAACAACACAAACAAGCGTAGAGGACATGAGAGGTGGCGGTGATCTCAGATAAAGGGATGTAGGTTATGACTGTAAATTCTTGTCAAGTTAATTTATGCAGTGAGGACCTCCTAGGACATTACCGTTCGGAAAGTTAGGGGCAGGTAGTGGGGGGACCGGGCAGCCAATGGGGAAGGAGATCGGCCCCGCCCCCTCTGGCCTGGAGAGGCTAGTGCTGGCCCCTAGGCGGCGGCCCCGGGAACTAGCAGCCAGGCAAGGCCAGCCCCACCGCTATTACCATTAGCAGAGTGTAGCCCGCTCCGTGAGCACGTGACGTCCGCATCTCCAGCATCTTTATCAATACCTCCTCCAGGCCACGCTCTCCACCTCGCTTCCCCTTCGGCACAGGATATATCGACTTTGTGAACTTGTGATGGTGATGATGATAACATAGTGATCTTGTGTAGTGCGGAACATATCGAGAAAGGGGTGCCGGGTATCTGATGAGAGAGTGAGGAGCGCTAGGCCACCACGCTGAACTACACGGACCTAGGGAGCCCGTTCGGGGAAGGAGGCTCTGGCGGCTCGAACACGCCGACCCCGACCAACATGGGCTCTGAGCTGGAGCAGCACCACCACGGGGGCATGGGGTCGCTGGAGGGCGGCGGCAGCATCACGCCCGGCCCGCCCCCGACCTCCAAGTCCGCCTTCATCGAGCTCCAGCAGCACCCCTACAACCCGGTCCGCTCCTACCACCCCCATCACTTCGGGGGCGGCGGCCAGGGCCAGGGGCCCGGGCACCACGACGGCTTCGGCTCGCCCAGGACGGCCCTGTCGGCGTACCCCTTCCCGCCGATGCACCACAACAGCTACACCGGCTACCACCTCGGCACCTACGCACCGCAGTGCCCCTCGCCGCCCAAAGATGGTAAGTACATTCAACAAGTTGGATAAGGCGCGCTCAGTAATTTGTCTGTTATCTTAGTGATAGTGGAAGGGCCGCGGATGACAGCGGGGAGAGCGTTGTCAGGGCCCGAACCACCTCCGCGGCTCATTCACTAAATCGGCCAATTAGGCAATTACCTAAATTACCATCGATTACCCGACATACAATGCTCCCCGATCGAATGTCTTCCCTTTACAAGCGGGTCACTGATTTCCAATACCCATTGATTTTAGAGGATTATTTCTTTATGAATATCAATATATTACCCAATAAAACAAAAACAAATAGGCAATGCTCTTCACCGAAATGCTTTAAGAAATCCTTTGGTTAAGACAAAGAAAAAGAAGGTTAAATATTTATAAAATTTAATAATTGTAAATATAATTACTCGACAATAAATAAATTTTAAAAAAATAAATAAATCACTTGACTGAATTTAATTAAGAATATTTAATTTGCTTATAATTACAATAGCTATTATTATTTAATCAATGCGTTTATTTTTAATTATTATAACTATTCGAAATCGCGTTCCCAATCTTCGCTACGCTCGTCAACAAATGAAAAATGTTTATGAAATTAATGTTATGATTTAGAGAAGCAGTAGAATATAATTCGTATAGAGTATAATAGAAATATATTGCGTTAATAAAAGATAACAAGCGGCTTCCGCAGCAGGGGCTATTTCTGAATACGTTAACCTTTTTATTAATCTAAATCAATATCTCACTGAGCGAGCGGGTTCTTCAGTTGTGGTTCGTCCGAATCGTGTATTAGCTTCATCAAATGTCTTCAATTTTATAAATTTATTTTAATTTTTTGTAATTCAAAAGATAAAAATTAATATTGTTTTATAATGTACTTAATCCGTTTCTTATTTTTTTTAATCATAATTTTCCCATACAGACGCATTTATTTTTCTAGGATTTTTAATTTTTTTTTAAAAGAAATTAATTTTTAATATTTTGGTTACGGATACTCGTATTTATAGAAAACAAAAGCTATATATTTTCAAATCAGTTATTGAAAAATATTATAATATTATTAACATCGTAAGAGTGAATAATATAAGCAATAAAACAATTTTTTTAAATATTTTATTTTATTTATATTTTATATGTTTAACCGATTTTTCGAACACATAGAAGAAAAATAATATAATTTAAAATTCTCAATTTATCTACCAAATATTTCTGTTTAAATAATATTTAAAATAATGTTCCAGTAAATAGGAAATACATTTTTATTTTTATGATTACCGCTTATATATTTTAGCGAAGCCGATCGCCTTTGATGTGTATCATTACTTCATTTGAACTTGTTTATAGTCCTGACTTACTTTGCATTACATAATGGAGTTTTTAGAATTAGTTTAGAGTAAAACAAAGCATATTATCATCAACATTAATTATAAACAATGGGCGCGTAACTGTAACGCATAACGAAACAATCCTCATTCACGTGATGCGAAGTTACTACAGGGAAGCCGATTCTTGTTTTGGTTCATTCTAATATAAATGAAATATAAAATTCTATATATCCAATTTTATAATAAAATTTATTTGAAGCCAAAGTAATATTATATATTACTCACGGTAATGTTCTACAATTTACTTAATATATTTTTCTGGATGAAAAATTAAATAAACGTGAATTTGAAATATTTTGACATCGTAAATGTACTTTCTATATTATACCTAAATTGAAACCATAGTTTGGATAATGTATTCTGATAACTAAATTTTGATAATACTTAATGACATGAAATTTTATTGAAATTAAATAAATGATGTATAAAATTATTAAGGAAAAAGTACAAAAAAAAAAAAGAAAGAAAAAGAAAATGAAAAAATATCGGAAAACTGCATATATTGATGAAAATTTCACTAATAATAACATTGTCTATATTATTATTAAAAGATTTATACGCAGAAATTCTCATTGAATTTCAATAAAAGAATTCTAGTATAAGTGAATATTTTCGAAGATTATTAGTTTTATATAGAAGAGATTCTCCCTAAAATCGTTTTTACATATTTTAAATCAATGATGTTAAAAAGAATTCTTCATTTTTTGTTTTTTAGTAGCATGAGAAGGCAATTGAAAATTAAAAATATTGAGCTTCAATTTAACATAATTAAATAAAAATATACATAAAACTATTTCATATACCGTTTTGAAAAATTAAGATAAAAATAATAACTAAATTTGTGCTTCAGCATATGCCCAAGTCCCGTTTCGGTATTATCGACCTTTTTTTTTCTTAATTATTTTTAATTAGATGATTTCAAAATAGTTTAAACTTGATTTATTTAGAGTGACATAATGATTGTTTACATATAATTATAAATAAAATAAAGTTACAGAAAAAAATAAATAGACATTTTAATAATATATGATTTGAATTACATGTACGTTAATTGAAAAGTAAAAATAAAGCGTTTGTAATATATTTTCCAATTAAATAGTTAAAGTGATTTTAAAAATGATAAAACTTTTGCCATGTCATTATTACATGTTTAATTTTATTGTTTATATTTTATTCCATAAACAAATATAAGTATAAAATTTATTTAATTGATACTCAAAGTTATGGGTACTTATTTACCTACTAGTTAAATAGTATTTTTATTTTTTTTGTTTCACGGTTGTTAGATTTCTTGTTTTACTGATCAATTTTACTAAAAAAAAAAAAAAAAAAAATTAAAATGAAATATTTAATAACGTACAATAAATTGGAATTTTTTGAGTATTTCAAAGAAATTATCTTATAAAATATAATCATATGGAATATTAAAACGTAAGATTCTATCAAATATCATATAATCATTTTTATGTAAGTGTGTCTATAAATAGGTAATAAAAAAAAAAAGTCAAGTATTTTTCATGAATTGCAAGAATAAACTTAATATAATTGTTTTTATTCCAAGAAATAGCATAGTTATTATGATTTATTTATTTTCGACTAATGTCAAATGTCTTTTGTACTGCTTACTTTTGTAAATTTCAACATCGTAACGTTTTAGTTCAAAACCAATCATTCTTTTTGTCTAAGTTTTGTTATGTTATTAAGTTATTCAAACTGAATTTTTTATTTTTATTTTATTTTATTTTTTTTTATGGATAATTTTCATTAATTCAGTAAAAATCATTGAAGGAAAGCTCACGAAATTTTGATAGCCAAACTAAATTCTTATGTATGAAAACGCTTATTAATCTTTATAAAATTTTATTTAATTAATAAATATAAGATATAAACATAATAGAGGCCAAAATCATATCGTTTTGTCTTCGACCCAAAATTGTTTTATTTAATCAATCCTTATACTCAACACACATCTTTAGGCAACGATAATCAAAACTACACACACTTCAAAAAAGAAAATATGTTATGTTGAAGAAAATATCATGAAATTTATATAGTTTGTGATATTATACATATAATAAATGTTAAAATTAATTGAAATTATAACTTCATAACAATTATTTCCGTATACATACTGCCTATGTAATATATTTTTTGTTTTCAAACGTATCTTTGGGAAATACTGCATTAGCAACTAATAGGAAAACATTTCTACTATTTTTCTTATTTATATATATATTTTTAAAAACGGTTTTAAAATGATTATTATATTTTTGTCTTTGAAATGTGTTAATATTTTCCCAAGGAGTGTTGTTTAAAACAATAAACTGTCCTTATCACTTCCATATTTAAAACCCAAATTATTGTGTAAATAAATACTAAGACATTATTGTTGGGAATTAGGAAATATAAGATGGGAAAGAATAATTTAAATATATAATATGTGAAAAGGCTGACGCTCGGGAAAAACCGGATAACTATCAATTTTTGCGAAAATATTTAGAGTTTTTTGAATCCCACTCAAGTTTATTTTATATGTACTTATAGAAAAAAACATTCTACTTCAAATTATATTTTGGGAATCCAGTGTACAACATATAACAATTTTGTTGATGAAATTATTCGAAATATTTTGCAAATAATACTACCAGAAAACTGATGTTACTTAAATTTTGAATAGACCTCTTTAAAAATTTTAGTCATCAGGTTTCTAAAACTAACTGTATATGTATCATAAAATTAATAAACTTAAAAATTATTATTATGATCACAATTTTTAAAACATTTATTTTATCGAATCTATATCATAAATTACAGACACCTTAATGAAATCTAGGAACAAACGCTGGAAAATTAAAAAACATTTTAAAATGCTATTTTATAAATGAACAGTTATTGTATACAAATGTGATGTGTATTAAATTCATGAAGTTGTTGCTTGAAATTGACTATTTTTAACTGATAAAATATATTGTTATTTCTTACCAATAAATACCAACTATTTTCCAATAAATACCCACCTTTATAGAATAATGAAGAGAAGAATAGTTGGGGCGACATATTATTATATTATTATTCTTCATATTATGCATATTTTTCTTCCCTTCATAAATCACGACAGTCAACTATTTATCCACAATTATGAATCCACCTTTATAGAACTTCCCCTAAATTGTTGAAGATCTCAAAACTTAGTTTTTGACTTACGCGTCTTTTGTGTTCAACGGCTCATGTATTTCGGGTTTTATATCATCACATAGGTAAAAATATTGTAATTTTTTAAGATAGGACTTATTAAAAGTTATTTATAAAGTCCTACAAATCTTTCCAGTGTTTAATAAATTATAATTTAAGCATAAATGGTCCCATTTATCTCCACAAATATTTTGAGTGGTCCCATAAGTTTATGGTCTTTTACGAGCAAAAATAACTTTAAATGTTATATGCTTGTATTAACATATGTATAAGAATTAAATAAGTTCATTTTATTATTGTAGGCGCATATTATTCCTTTGTCAATAATTAATAATTTTTTTAGTCGGGTTTACACATTACTCGAAATATGTCTCAACATATTATACTCACACATGCGTTTAAAAGTGTAACTGTTCTTGACTTGCTCATGTTTTTCTGTTTGACCAGATATACGAATGTTATTTGATCTCTCTATGAAGTCCGTCCGCGTCCGCTATAGAGAGCTGCAGACTTTATTACTAATAAATTATTTAAAACTTTATGGGACATATAAAA